CAAAGGCATATAAGACCGTGTCACTTAATTCTGCATTAATATTGTCGGGGCTGCTTCCGCTAGACCTTCGGGTCCAAGAAGCATCCCGGCTTTATGAGGCAAAGCGCGGGAAACCCCAGGCAATATTGAGTGGCAGAAGGGTGGAAGAAAGGGTATCTCTATTGAAGTCGAACCACCCCGGCAGCATGAATGTAATAGATTTTGAATGTTTGGAGAACGCAGAAGAGGATGGTAAACTGGCAGAAGGCTTGGTGAAGATTTATACGGACGGCAGTAAAATTGAGGGAAAAGTCGGTGCGGCCCTGACCTGTTGGAAAGGGGCCTTTGAGATCGCTTCCCGCAAGTTCAAGCGTTGGAGCCGTACTGTACAGTCTTCCAAGCCGAGCTGTATGCCATCCTACGAGCGACAGAATGGATGACGAATAGTGAATGGGAAGAGGTGGCGGTACTCAGCGACTCGAGGTCCGCTCTCCAATCGCTACAAGATACGGACTCTACGCACCCAATCACGAAGGCGATACAAGGCAACCTGATCCCACTAAAGGACAACGGCCGAAAGGTCACCTTATTTTGGATCAGGGCCCACGTCAGCGTGATTTGGAACGAGAGGGCGGACGAGTTGGCGAAGAGAGCGGCCCTCGGGTTAAAGTGCAAATCGCACTATGAGCGCTGTCCCATCTCCTTTGTCAAGAGGCATTTACGCAACTTGACAAAGGTAGAATGGGATAGCCGTTATAGGAGCGAGGGTACCGCCGCCACGACGAAGGCCTTCTTCCCAAGCGGGGAGAGGGCCTTCGCCGTCATAAGAAAGATAGAGATGAATAAATGGGCTGCACAACTCTTAACGGGGCATGGAGGCTTCCGGTCTTACCTCCATGATTTTAAGTGTAGAGATACCCCTTCATGTGTGTGCGACCCCCAAGAGAAATAGGATATGTTTCACGTCCTGTTAGAATGCCCAATCTTCAGTTAAGACAGACACACCTTACAAATGCACATAAACACAAACCTCAGTAGGGATAATCTTCCAGAAATATTAAATAGCGAAGATAGGGCCAAATTCATTAAATATGCATGTTTAATAGTAAGAAAAACAACGGATATGAATAAAGACTAAATGATATTAACATGGTATCAGAAATGTAAACAGCACAATGTTCAAGCTGTGATACTAATTATAAGAGGCAGCAACATATAAATAGGTAAATAAAACAATGGAAAAATTGTAACTGGAAACAAAATGAAATGGAAATAAGATAATAGAAATAAGTAGAAATGTAAAAGAAAGAAAATAAAAATGTAAATAGAAATAAGAAAGATGTATTAGAAAATAAGAAAAAATGTAAAAATAAGACCTTGAAAAAAGGCAAAAGGAAAAAGAACATTCCCAAATGGGTAGTCTAAATACCCATATAAGAAAAGAAAAGAAAAAAGCAAAAAAAGAAAAGAAAAAAAGCAAAAAAGTTGGCCTGCTAATGAGTGGAGAAAACTGTTAAAAAAAAAACGTGTGACGTAATTTATGGATGGCCCCCAAGCTTCCATTATTTTATCAAATCAACTTTTAGTGCTTAAAAGTCTAGAGGTTTCAAATCACAGATGAACTCAAATATTTATCAAAATAATATTTTTAAAATATAACTTCACTTTATTTTCAGAAGAGAATAACAGAATAACTTTCTGAGAAGAGAATAATTAACAAAGAATTATTATATACCTGATTAACATTATTTTGGTAACAATTTGTGCCTATATGACGTATACATTAGTATATTTATTTTTCAGTCACAATTTTACAAGTTTTTTTTAATTTATTATAAACTAGGAAACAATGTTAAATATATCCATTATAAAAACAAACAAATAGTGTTTTGACAAATGACACCAATTACTGAATATAATTAGCCAAATCACATGTGATAATAGTCCCAAAGTTTAATGATGAAAAACATGTTTTCTTGAAGTAGTTATGTTATGGCACAGATATACATAAATTGTTATATGGTCATTGTCAGTTAAAGCACAAAAATATAACTATAAAGCATTATTTAAGAACATTGTATTTATGACAGTTAACAGTTATATTGTTAGTAACCCGTATCTTTAGAAATAAAATAAAATAAAGTTGCTTCTCGCTTGTCTGTAAGCTGAGTTCTTTTAAACTACACGTTTTTAATGCGGTTTTCATCAACAGACACTGATTCAAGAGATAGGTTTATAATACGTATAGTTCAAAACTATACGGGCGAATCCGCTGGAGGTAAACTAATCAGTTTATATTATAAATATACTTATGTTACAAATGTCTATTTTATATTATAAGTAATGATTACACTATTATAATTTGACTAGAACTTAAAAATCATTGACAACTATATAAATAAATTATAAATATAAAAATTCATATTCTTTTACCCGCTACTGTAATGTCACGCAGTGACGTTACCTTTGCAATGGCATCAAAAGATCGACACTGCCGACTTCTAGCGCTAGGTATCTAGAGATCTAATATAATTAAATTATAATAGAATAAATTAAAATTGTTTATATGTGAACAGCAAATAAAATTGCGGCAACGATATCACATTCACAGGAGAAGAAAAAAGTGAAACTTTATTTTAGTTAAGTTTCACTTTTTTCTAATATCACCCTAAATTGAGCTATCTAAAATAATAACTGTTTGCTTCCGGTCATAGCCACAACAACTTGTACCATCGACAAAGAAATGATAATTGTACTTTTACTTGGTTTAACATCCATCCGTTAAAAACGTGTTGGGAATTTATATTTAATATGATTATCTTTAACTAGCTGTTTTCCCGCGATTTCATATTCGTAAATTATAACCTATGTTAACCCCGTTCGATATAGAGCAACACATAGGAGTTTTTTTTTTAAATCGGTCCAGAAATTTGGACCTTATTCGATGCAAGCAAACAAACAAATCAAACATAAAAATCTTTCCTCATTTTGATAAGTAAAGACAAAACAAAGAAATTGAAGCGCAAACAGCGACCGACATGGATAAACACATGCGATGTCGTTGCTAGCGGTACTAAGTATGGATTGGAGCGGCTAATAAGGAAGTATTTAAAAAAGTAGTTCTGAAGTCAAACTAGATGTCGTTGCGGTACTTTCTTGATTTCTCCATGACAACCCTTCCGATTTTCTTCCATGTATAAAAGTAAAATAAGTTTCAAAACACAATAAACAACTCATATTCTATTTGTACTTTTTTATATTTGTATTGATATCTATATTTTAAACTTCAGATTTTTAAAATGTTAGTTAGAAGGAACGGAAATGACTATCTTTGGTCCATGAGTTTCCTGCAAAAATCAACTTTTGCTAGAGTCGCCATCTAGTGGAGGTGCTTTTTAGTGCTTTCTTTTTTTTTTAATACTTCCTCATTAGAAGCAAACGGCTAGTATATTTTATCGTAGTTATTTAAGTATATTTTTCTATTAAAAGTCGATTGATACGACGCACTCCATATTACTAGTACAATAGACAACATGTCAGGTTAATACAAACCTAAATTTCTCCAATCAATTTTAAGCTTTGACCTGTCAATAGTTAATTTTAAAATTGATCAATACTTCGAGCTAACACACCGTCCCGTCTGTTGTGTAGCATATTCTTAATAATATTTAATACCTATGCTATACATTTTACAAAAATATTGAACTCTTCAACAATATATTAATATCTCCAAATTACCATTATACATGGTATATGTTTGACATGGTTTCAATAGATAAATCCCTTGCTTATATAACGAGACAAAAAACTCTATAGGTATAGATTTTGAATTGACCACAAATCTTATAACATAGGGCGTTCAGTAGGGGTGATGACTATATTTTATTTGTTTGTCCGTCTGGTAAACTCGTCAGGTAGTCATTGATGAATATTAAACACGTATTTTTTTAAATCATTAAATCACATGGGTAATCATTAAATTAAGGTCACACATTGAGTTGAAATGTAGCATGATGACATACTTTTGTACATTTTTGTAACTTTAATGTCTATTATCTAAGCCATTTCTAGCTAAACTGAAGCGAAAATACGTATCTAATATTTTTTTTTCCCAGTCATTCTCCCTATTGTAAAAAAGTCTCATGGAAAATTTTCGGTTAATATTCAACTATCATATTAATTCACTCACTGTATTAAATTTTGAATACGGATGTAGACAGTAAACGAAAATAAATACAATTTTTTCTGGTAGTATTTAATATACTATTACCGAGAAATCACACTACCATGCTTATTTTTATTTACAATGTTATTTATATTAATTATGAAAAAAACACCTATTTTATACTCGTTGTCACGGGACTGCAATCAGCGCGTGACGTCACATTTCTCTAAGGAAAATGTCATAAATTTGACTTCGATCTACATAACCCTGGGGGCCAATCTGCAAAATAAATTTTTATTTAGCAGAATTGGCCCCCAGTGCGTAGAACGAGGTTTGTTGTTGTTATTGTTTATGTTAGTTTTAGAGGGCTGTGACGTCACATCGACGCCATGACAGAGGTTCGCGTTTTTGCGGAAATATTTGAATATGAATTTTATTTTTAGATTTTAAATTAATATATCAGAGATATTTTTTAAATATTTTTTCAAATTTAATCATTTAGTTATTGCAATAACTTAAACTATTTGTACGTACTTAATTATTAACTATTATATATAAATTAATTAAAGTATTACAAATAATATCTCTTATTCAAAAAATAACATTTTAAATATACCTATAAAATAAAATTATAAAAAAAAATCGTCTACACCCGTATTTATATAATATAATATACCAATATTAGAAATTGTGACGACCAAACTGTCGACTTCTCTCGCTTTTTATCGAAATGCACAGTCTTGTTAGATATAACATAGAAAAGTTATTTTCTACATTGACCTGATCAGGAATCGAACCCAGTATCTCAGAGATACACCTCGAAAAGTTATCATACAATATTAAAGCTTTCAACTTATCACAATCTGGTTGTGAATACAGACTGTACTATAGAGGAAGGCAACATTCGACTAAATCTTAAGTCTGACACTAGTCTGGCACAAAAGTCTGGCGCTAACGCTATTACTACCACTAAAACATTTGCTACCCAAAACGGTATAGAAGATATCAGTCGAATGTATGTTCCTAGAACGTCGCCGTCATATTGCCTGTAAAGAAACGTATAGTATTATTAATAGGACAAAAAGAAAACTATTATACGAAATAGGCTAAGGCTTCCGATTCCGGAGCCTATCTTCCATTACGGTACTAGCGGAGTTAAACATTTTCAATGTGTATGTCGTCCTAAATGAATTCTTTTAGACTACATTTTTTTTAAATATTTTATTAAAAACATATATTTTATGGAAATGTTTTCATAAAATTAATATATTTTTGTAAACAATTTTTGTATTGTGAATGTGCCCCAAAATATTGTTTTTAAAGGTAGATAGATATACTCTTAAATAAAAAAAGTCAATCGACCTTTGTCTCAAGTGAACACAGAACCTGTAAAGGCTCCGAAAGGTCATGAAAGCAAATTAAGAATAATAAACATTTAAATGAAATACTTTAAACGGTTTCAAAGCGTTTGTATTTGCTTTCATGACGCTTCGGACCTTTTATTACAGGTTCCGGGTTCCCTTAAGACAAAGGTGTCGATTGTCTATTGAATAAAAGTTCTTAATAACACTTACCAGTTCCAGGACGCGTAAGCTATGTTGACAGCTATATTAACTAGTACAGAGAGTATAATCGACAATACGAATATGAAAGTCTGATATCTCGCATTCAGCCACAGTTTGAGTGACACTATCAGTACCATCAGGTGAAACAACATTGCGCCGAATGACCTGAAAAAAAAACAATTCTATAATGAATGTGAAATGAACCTTGAAGGTTAAATTGTGTAAAATGATTCAATTTGCGATTAAAACACAAGACTAGACTATCACATTAATATTAAAGAGATATTTCTTTGGTACTGTTTGTTATCTTTTATAAAAATAAAAACCTTATGTTCTTCAACAACTAAGTTTATTATATTCTTAGGGCGGTAACTGACTAATAAGTATTATGGCATGAGCAGGACGGATAGTCTTTCTCACATAGTATAGGTAATGGGAAAGTTTTTAATGATGTGGTTATAAATATTATAGGTATACGGAATGCATATTTCGATTAACACTATTTCATTGATTCTATCCCTATTAACAAACGTTCCAATTTTCGTTAAATGTATTTGTATCGAGTTCAGTGGGTTAGATTATAGTATTTATGGATATTAAAAATTTTATCTGTGTTTGAATACGCAAATTTAAACAAATATCGAATATATACATAGTGAAATTAATATTTGTAATTATGGTTTTTAATCACATGGAAATGCAAATTGCGTGAAATGGTTTTGGTTACAAACGTCACTGTACCCATACAATGTGAAACAGACTATAGGAGCGCTCACCACAAGTCGAGCGTGTTCATGTCCGCGTTGAGCACGGGCACGTAGAACAGCGCGGCGGCCACGCAGTATATGGCGGCGGAGTGGAGGCTAGTGTTGTGTGTATACACGAGCAGGACTATATATAGGAGCGCTCACCACAAGTCGAGCGTGTTCATGTCCGCGTTGAGCACGGGCACGTAGAACAGCGCGGCGGCCACGCAGTATATGGCGGCGGAGTGGAGGCTAGTGTTGTGTGTATACACGAGCAGGACTATATATAGGAGCGCTCACCACAAGTCGAGCGTGTTCATGTCCGCGTTGAGCACGGGCACGTAGAACAGCGCGGCGGCCACGCAGTATATGGCGGCGGAGTGGAGGCTAGTGTTGTGTGTATACACGAGCAGGACTATATATAGGAGCGCTCACCACAAGTCGAGCGTGTTCATGTCCGCGTTGAGCACGGGCACGTAGAACAGCGCGGCGGCCACGCAGTATATGGCCAGCGAGTGGTACACGCCCGCGGAGCACCACCAGCCGAACGAGCTCCAACGGAGGAGGCCCCCGCGCGACAGCTGACGGTACACCGTCGGATTACTGTATATACGATAATTCACATTGATAACACACTATCAACTAATGCTGAGTTGCCAAATCTTTATGCTATACTAACGACAAAAACATGTTTGAAAATACTATCAACTTTCGTCTGTTCATCTGCTCCAGCATTAATGTTCTAAAACTACACATTTGCCATTGGGTAGTTTACATGTGGGTAGCTCGGTGGCGTAGTGGATAAACGCCGCGGCCCGCGAGCGTTGTTATTAAGCAACTTTCGCAAGGGTCGACGGGATGGGTGCCCAAAAAATTATTATCTCGAGCTACTCCGTACTTCGAAAGGCACGATAAGCCGTTGGTCCCGGATGCAATTGCAGTCGTTAATACGCTCCAATCCGCATTGGGCCAGCGTGGAAGGCCGTGGCCCATCCTCCTTAACCATCCATAAGGAAGGCCTGAGCCACTGCAGTGGGGACGTAAAAGGGCTGACGATTATGATGATGATGAATGGTGGGCAGACAAGACCTTTGAAAATAAAAAGTTCTACTGCATTTATGGTTATTTTGTTTACCCTATTAAAATGTACAATAGTGACCTGATGAGGAATCCGGCGGGCGACCGCTGTTCAGTGAGCGAGAGCACGAGGCACGGCACCGATGTCGGCACCAGGTTGTATATGGTCAGAAACAACGAGTCGAACACTGACTGAGTTGAGAACGCGCAGTGGATTTGAAATATAAACTAGAACAATAACACGTTACATGTTAATATATATGTCGTACGCCAATCGTTGAATTGGGTCTGTTGAACTAGGTATGCCGTCATTACTTTATTTTGCCATCTATCATCCGCTATATCCATCAATGCATAAAGTGACGGTTCGCCCGACTACTCTAAGGCCAATCGATTTTGAAGGGTGACCAAAGTATAATTAACCAGAGGTAGGCAGCAACCCGCGTTTCCTCCTACCACCCATCTTTGTACGTAAGCAAATTATATGAAATTTTGCCAAACTTTTAACCGGGCTGATCGTGATTTTCCTGGTCAAAACAAGAAATGGCGGCATATCATGATATGCCTGGGCAGATCTCGATCGGCCCAAATCAACGATTGGCTCACGACATATACATAGCATAAATCGAAGTTTCTCTAATTGTCTTTACGCTGAGATCTTCTCGGTAAACAGCTCCATACGTCCCGGCCTATCGAACCCCTGACGAAGCAGTCACTCACGCCATTTCATTTTATCACGTTTTATTTCAGTCATTTTTCACCGACATGTTTCGAGGTAGTTGCTAATATTTGTCTTCACTTCTGCCCCGAGGATCCTCAATCAGAGCTTAACGCCTGGTGGTCGTTGGAAACGTCATCAATATCGTGGACACATTAATGCCTCGAGAGACTTGGACCCGTGGACCTATGTATAGGGTTTTGCCGGGTCCCGATGGCATGTTTCGTGTGACGGCCTTGTCCACTGCTCGCGGTAGTCTCTAACAACCCTTGAACCAAGCTTGTCCAGTTGATGGTCCGCTTAGAGTGATGTGGCTTTGTCACCGAAGGGGAGGATCTTGAGAACCGGTAGCTGGACCGACCTCTTTTTATGCTTATCTATGTTTTTATGAGTTTTATATATATATATACAGCAAGCAATTAAAACCACTCTCCAAATTTGAGTATGTTAATCTTTACGACAAATAATGAAATACGTGTTTTTTCTTTTTATGTCGTTTAGAACAAAAATGTTGAGTTATATCGTCACCAAGTTATTTTCAAAAAACCTACATTTGTGGACGCTCTCGCTGCCCAGTACATGCGCTTTACGCGCTACGTTACACTTACCCCTCCCTCCCTTGCCGCAATTCATTGATAGTAATAATAGCAGCTACCTAAAATGTTTTCATTTTGTCATGCTTGGGGAAATGATAAATAAAGTTGAAACCTCTTCATACTTTTACGGGCTTAGGACCGTCAAATTGCATAAATCCTATAAGATACCTACTATTACAATAGCTATACTGCTTTAAATTTATAAAGTAAGTAGGTAAGTAAATATCGAGTTACCTAAAATTCTGTTTAGTTAAACCAATTCAAAGTAGGTACTTAACTCGCTATTCTTTTGCAATCAGGCGTATTTAAAAAATCATCAACGTTATGTACATAATCAACTAATCAATTTACCTACCTACTTTAACTATTTACCTACGTATACTTTAATAATTATTCAAAGTACATACCGTTCCTCTTCAAACAGAGTCTTGCACCTTTTCTGCACATTGTCTTTTAATTTTGCGAGCACTACCGTGTCATTTTTCACTTGGTAAAATGCCGCTCTGATTTGCACTTTTAAGTCCTCGAGGCTTTGTGCTTCCTCAACATACACACGTCTTTTAATTTCGCCCCACAAATAAAAGTCACACTGTGGTAGGTCCGGCGATCGCGCAGGCCCCACGATGGGGCCTCCGCGTCACGTTGATCACCATGTATGTAACACTGCACCATTTCATAATATTCGCGATTGGAATACATTACGACGCGCGAAATGTGGCGCTGCGACGGGCGGTGCGCAACACGGAAGCAAAGGCGGAAGCGCACGCGTTCAAAGGGGTTGTGCGCGGGCGACTGACTGATGTGCGCCGACAAAATAAAAAACCGAGCAGACATTGTTGTTGGCGCATGCGCGTACATCCCCTGCGCCCGCGCCCTTGCTCCCCTGCTGCCTTGTTTTATTCATTACTAATGTGACAATGCGAATGTTATAATTATCTTGTAATTGCAACAAGTTTACATTTCATTTTGAAAATTTTACATACCGTTTTTTTTTCATATATGTGATCTATTAACGATACCTAATGCCTACAAAAAATTTGGAGAGTCATTTTAAATGCAGCCGGTATATATATATATATATGCTATGTATATTTGCAGTTTTATTTATTATGTTTGATTGACACGTTTTTTGACGAGGACCTTTGCTTTGTGGGTAATAGATAATTTGTGGAGATCTCACTCTGGACTTTTCTATATACCTTAAAATATATTTGTGAAAATATGGTTAATTGTAAGTTTTACAATTTTAGACCAGCTCATTGATAGGCAAGACGATGTACAAATATTTAAGTCAAAATAAAATAAATTGTCTGATTTTATACAAATAAAAGACACATTTTTAAATGTCCAAAGAATTTAAATTACATCAAAAATAGCGAACTTTGAAACCTGCTTTCAAGAGTATTGCTCACAATAATATAAGGCGCAGTCTTCTCTACCAGGAGAAACTAGGTAAGACATATGTTATTACGACAACATTTGGCTAAAGTTATCACGAAGATATGTAACACCCGCGGTTCCACTCGATTTAATTAACTTGCTCTACTTTCGTGATATTGTAAATATATTCTACACCTCCGACTCCTACACCTTATGAATATACATTTTAATTTAACAATTTCTATTTGGATCAAAATAGAACTCTCACCATTAGAACTCCTAAGACTAGATTCTTGTAGAAAAAATAAAGTATTAACGTAGTCAGCCGTTGGTAGTACCAATGGCCCAACACCAAAATAATCTTCTTTAGCATCGAGAACTTTGTGAACGCGAAGTCCGCACATCTGAAATGAAATTTTATAGCATAATTTTACTTCTTAAATACAGTGACCATAATCAATACCTTGTCGTAAATACAATACATTTTTTGTATTTGTTGGTATAGAAATTGATAAGAAGCGGGAAGAACAATGTTTTCACAATGTAGTATTAAGATATTTATAAAAATACAGAAGTATCATTATGTATCATTACACCGTCGAGCACAGCAATTGGGAGAGGGAAGGACACTGCTTTAAAAGATCTTTCAATCCTATTAATCCTATTAATATTATAAATGTGAAAGTTTCTTTGTTTGGATGTTTAGATGTTTGGATGTTTGTACGTCAATCACACCGAAACTACTGAACAGATTGTGATGATATTTGGTATACAGATAGGGTATTAGCTGACATAGATAATAGGATACTTTTTATCCCACTAAACATTTCGCTAGGGTCCACGCGGGCGAAACCGCTGGCGAAAGCTAGTATAGAATAAGATTACATTATTTTTTTTAAATCATTGCCATCACAAATCATAATCCTACATCTCCTGCGTATAATATAGTACTTAACTGCATTTCACCAACTGTATAGTATTTACTTATCGAAAGTTTTTTAAAACTGTTTATTGGTATTTTTGATGACAAATTTATTTGTCTTTAATGAAAAATACTTAAAATCCAACAACCTCAGGTACGTCTCGTAGTAACTTTTCATTAAATATATATAGCAATATGGCATTGTGAGTGCAAAATTGATCAAATACGAGGGTCAAACTGAAAGTTCTTAGAAAATCAAAAACTGATTACATTAGCCAGTTATTAGTTTTATTATATCTTTTCAAAATATTGTCCATTCACGTCAATACACCGCTGCATGCGATGGAACCACTGGGAAAAGCACTTTGCCCACTCGTCCTTAGGGGTCTCTTCAATGGCATCGCGATACGCAGCCACCGCTTCTTCAGCATTCATAAACCGCTTTCCTTTAAGTTTTTCTTTAATTTTTGGAAATAAATAAAAATCACAAGGCGCGAGGTCGGGGCTATACGGCGGGTGACCCAGTAATTCAACGTTTGATGTCGCCAAATAGTCGATCGTTCGCTTGGCGGTGTGCGACGAGGCGTTGTCGTGGTGAAGGAGGATCCTACTGCGAGGTCGTTTCTCTCGAACTTTTTCCAAGACAAGTGGCAAACAATTGGTAGTGTACCATTCTGCAGAAACTGTTTTTTGATCCTCTAACACAATTGTTGCAAAATGACCTATCCTTCCAAAGAACGAGGCCACCATTTTTTTTCCCGCACTTCGATCTCTCTTCACTTTAGTTGGCAACTCCTCGAAAGGAAACACCCACTGAGCAGATTGTCTTTTGGTTTTAGGATCATAACAGTAAATCCAGCTTTCGTCACCTGTTAGTATGTCGAACACAGCGTTTGAGTCACCTCCGTTAAATCTTTCAATCATTTTACGACACCAATCCACACGATGGAGTATTTGAGCCTCAGTCAAATTATGAGGTATCCACCGGGCGCAAAGCTTCCTGACCGCTAAATGTTCGTGGAGGATTTTGTGCACTTGACTCATACCGATGCCTAAGCTTGTCCGAATCTGTTGATAGGTCACTCTTTTGTCAGTCTCTATCATACGCCGCACAACACAGATGTTATCTTCAGTCGTCGCCGTAGAAGGCCGTCCCTCACGTAAATCATCAGTGAGATTAGTGCGACCACGTTTAAACTCATTAAACCAGTTGTAAACAGTCGCACGAGATGGGGCTTCATCGTGAAAGGCCAATCGTAGTCTATCATAACTTTCTTGTTGACTTAAATGACATCGAAAGTCATAAAAAATCATTGCACGAAAATTTTCTCGTGTTAAATTCATTTTTTTATTATATTGTTTATAAGTGGCCAGTTCTAAGAACTTTCAGTTTGACCCTCGTATAATTGTCTGATTTTATATTTTTCAACTTTATGTTTACTTATATAATAATAAATAATAAACAGCATCAGTTAGTAAAATTGATAAAATGCAGTTAAGATATTATACGTTGGAGGTGTCACCCGATTATCATTTGGCCAATTCTATAATATTACATCTTGAATAATAAACATATACGCGAATTTTAATCAACGTGTTAGTTTTAGGGTTCCATACCTAAAGGGTAAAACGGGGACCCTATTACTAGCCTACGATGTTCGTCTGTCTGTCATTAGGCCGTATCTCATTTACAACGTTAGCTAGACAGTCAAAATTTTCACAAATTATGTACTTTTGTTGCTTTTATAACAACAAATACCAAAAAAAATGAAAACAATAAACGTGATTATTTTGCTCGTTTTTGATCGATATTAATTAGCATTAGATAACTCTTGAAATATTAGAAAGATATTAAGTTAGATATTAACTTTAAGAGTAAACAACTAAATTAAAATAAAACAAATATGAAAGGGGGCTCTCACACAGCCGACATGATTTTTTTGCTGTTTTGTTTTAGATAATGGAGGATTCCGATTCGCACTTGGCTGGCAGTTACATATACATATAATGAATAATATTTACCTGGCGGCGTGATGTCCTTCTCTGCCGAATATGCCGAATCCGACGTGCGCCTCCTGTATCATGGAGATATCGTTGGCGCCGTCACCGATCGCCGCCGTCAACGGACGCTGAGGGCATTCCTTCACGAGTTTCACTATCTTATAAACAAACGAAACAATAATCGATTAAACGGCTCAAAGTTGCAATTGACAATATGCTTCTGATTAAAAAAAAAAGGTTAAATATATTTTATGACGATCATTATTGCTTTAGAATAAAGTCTATGTAAATATTATTTCGGTTTCGTCTTGAAAATTAATATTAAAAAGTGCAAAAAAGAAATGCGGTAACTTCAAAATATACAAACGCCATGCTACTTGTCAGAGCGGTTGTAACAAAAAGTTAACATCAATGCAATCAATAACAGCAATGTATTATGTCGCAAAATAAACAAGCGGTTGTTAAAAAGTTAACATCGATGCAATAACAGCAACGTATTATGTCGCAAAATAAACAAAAGATTACAATTTAAATGAAGTTTTAGGGTTTTATTTTAATTTCACCAATTTGGCAACACCAATAGGATTATTAAAAAAAAAAACTATTGGTTTTTAATTTACTTTGGTAATTGAATAATAAACACTCACACAAAATCCATATTAATTGAAATTGTCACATCTCTAGTCGTGTTCTTAAACGTCACGATAACTTCCGACGCTTAAACCGCTCTTAGTTGTTACTTATTTTCATCAATTATAATTGTTTCTAAATTTTTAGTTTTTCAGTGCCGGATATTTTTTAGTTATATTACGAAGAAAATTATCATATGAGAACATTTTCAAAAATGTGCATATTCCCTATTCCTAAGCACACACATACACTCGCGTGCTAATTTAAAAAAAATAAACTCAAGTATATAAATATGTATTTATTTTTAAAATGTCGCTTATTTAAGAAAGACAACATAATATTTATGGACGTCTTGCTGTTTTCAAGCGACTTCGGGCACTAAAATTATTGCCGATTTTACCCGCGTATGATGTAGCTTCTCGTAGGAGAAAAACATTTTAAAATTGGCCAAGTAGTTTCGCAGCAGAACAAACAAATAATCAAATCTTTCCTCTTTATATTAAATAAATAAATATTAGAGAACATTATATACATTGGTCAGATTCCAAGATGAATAGCCAAAGCCCCTGTATTATGGAGTACCTGAGACAACGAAGATTCAACAACACCAAGACCCGATAAAATATATATAGAAAATTCTTCTTTCTACATTGACCCCACCGGGAATCGAACACGGGGACCTCAGAAAAGCGTGCGAACAATTCGGCTACAAAGGTTGTCAATTATTATTACTTGTATTAGTTAATAAAAACAACATAATATTTATGGATGATGATTTAATTTTATTTACACAATACTACTCGAATTTTAAGCATAGTCAACGACATTTAAGTTTATTCAGTACAGCTTAACGAGTTAATCTTAATATGACGTACCGACCTACTCACACACAAGGGAAACGAACGAAGATCATCATACGCTCATAAAGTAACTCAGTGATACTGGGTTTATTTACATTTCGTATAATTCGTCTCATTGACCTTTCTGTAGTTGAAATATGTCTGCCCAGCGGCGAATCTATGATTTTTTCCAACCGAGCATAACCACCCACTCTTTAAGGCCTGATTTTATATTACCATATTATTGCAATATATTATTTATTTATTTTATTTTAAAAACAACACCCCCCCTTCAAGGCAACATTCCCTCTCCCCTCTAGATCCGGCCCTGGTGGATGGAGGCGGGACGAACTGATTGCTACCTTACGAAGCATTAAGGAGTAGAAGTTAATACATTTTAAGTCACCTGTCTGATGGATGACTAACTTCTGAGAAAACTATTTAACATCCGCAAATAGAGAACGATGTTAATTATTGCATCAGCAACCTCCTCTATACATACTAATATTATTAATGCAAAAGTAACTCTGTGTATTACGTTTTCACGCCTAAACTACTAAATCGATTTTAATGAAATTTTGTTTACAGATAGAGTGAACATTGGGAAAGGACATAACAAAGCTTTTATAACGGAAAATAGACTTAAATGTTGTTGATATAAAAGTGAAAGTTAGTATGAAATATAGTCATTGTTGAAGACAATAATATAAAAATAACGACATGACATCGTAAACTCAATTAAACAAGGCACATGATAGCAATCTCGAAGAAAACGATCATTCTAACATGAATTTTTGTAATTGGACACTGGATAGGAAGCAAATTTTTGTACCAGTTTTAAACATTTCGACCTACAAAGGGAAGAAATTGGAGATAAAAAAAAAAACAGAATTCCGCGCAAGAAAGCAAGTCTTCAAGTAAGTCATAGATTAAAATGACGCATCCCGTTAACTAAAGACATACAACAATCAACTTTAATATATTAACATAAGATTTATAATCAAGCTCACCTTAGCCTTCTGTATCGGTGACAGTCTACAGCAGAGTACAGCGTGACAGTGCATCGTTATATCGACGAATACATTCGCGTAAGGCGTGTCCAATATTTGAGTGACGCTTGTCCCGTCTATAATTAGGGTTAGATCTTTGTAACTGGGTTCGTTCATTATTCGGGTGCACTCAGCTAAATTAATTCTCAATGCATCTTCATTGTCTATGCCAATGAGGTAAATGCGCCTGTCGTTGTCCGATATGTGTGCGCAAGATTGTGCCACGTTGATTGCTGTTTCTACCTGGGGATTAAAAAAAAATGATCATTACAACAACAACCAGTGTATCCAGTACTCATGTTTGTCATACTGAGGGCTCATTCTATTTGTCCTCGAAAGGAAATTCATAAAATATCGAATTGTTCTTATAATTTTGTTTAAATCATATCCTTTAGAGTTACATCATAAATTATCTAAAAATGCGTTAATTTGGAGCCGTATTAGTACTCCGCAAGTAAACAAAAAAACCTTTTCGGAAAAATAGAAAAGATCTTCTGGTTTATTTACCTCATTTTTTAAGATGGTAAACAAAACTTTTGGACCAACTGCATCTCACCTTATCTCCTGTGAGTACCCATATCTTGATTCCCGCCCTACGAAGAGACGCTATAGTATCGGCTACTTCATCCTGCAGACAATCCTCTACAGCAGTTGCTCCTATTAATGTCAACTGTCTTTCTAACACCCTGTATTGTTGAGATATTTGGTGCAATCCTTCTGCGTCTTTAATGTTTACAGTTTTGATCACTGCAATAAATATGTGTATTACCATATATGACAGATGTAATACGGAAACGCATATACTTATAATATTATAAAACTGAATAGTTTGTTTTTTTTTTATTTGGTTAAACGCGCTAATCTCTGGAAACAGTAGTTCTAATTTTTTTTTTATGCGGAATAGTCCATTTATTGTGGAAAGCTTATTGCATCTCTCTATGACTAATAGGAGTGGAGCACCAATACATTTTTTTTTTGCAAAAATGGGTGGCGGGTAGATAGTTAATAATAAAGAAGCACAGTGGTTAACAAACTTTTGGAAAAATAAACTCATTGTTTGTGACCTCTGCAATGAGGACATGATGAGTGTACTTACACCTTTATTTTTTTCTTATTTTTTTTAACTACTCTACAGAAGACAATGTTTGAAAAATATTTATTTAACTTACACTCCAACTTATATATGTGTTTCAGCTCAATTGAGGTATTTTTTTTATAAATAAATGATTAAATTAGATGTAGTAGACAGATAAAGAGATAGCAGAGTGATGTGATAAGGTTTAGATTTTTCGTATTAAAGTATGAAACTTTAAAAATGATAAATTATTACATACTTTCCACTATATTGTAATACTCCTCCTCGGGTATTTGTCTATAAGCTACAGCCAACGTTCTCAAGCCTTTGTTGGCGAATGCATTCACATCTCGTTCGGTGTTCTCCATGAAGATAGAATTTTCACATATAGGGAATACTGAACTTTCTGCACCTTTGCAAAAGAGCCAAATCTGTAATAAAAAATATATATTAAAATATATATCGGAACATCTATCAATTTTGAACTTTATTAAACAAATCAGTAAGGTATAAAATCAATCGTAAATGTAAATTTTTCCTAGATAACCTGATATTTTGTAAATTGCACTATAATATCGAAATACAACATAATTTATTGAATGATAATTATTATCTCAACTTGTTAATAAATTTAGTAATTTAAGTTTTTAATTTTAACAATAAGAATAAGGGAAGAAGGAAAGGACGCAGCGGTGGGTGGGGGGAGGGCACATAGCAACAGCATCCCTCGCAATGTCAATTTAACACAATTTATGCTAAAATTAACACGTTTTGTAAGAACAAAACGTGTTTAGCATATCTTTTTGGCATTTATATAATTTTTGGCACATTTTTCTAAACATAATTTTAAAAATAACCTAAAAATTAGCAATATTATCCATCACTTCACTCCGTAATTTTGTTGCTGACTGCACATTGACCTATTTTTAAAAGAATATTTGATCAAAACATTTTATAATTATATTATACAGTAATTTTCATTATGATTTATAAAAAAATACAGTTCTTTATCAATAACCTAGATCTAGATAGATAAAGGCCTAAATGTAAACCTATCATATTGACAAACGTAGATTTCTTATTATGAAGCAGAAGTTGTGTTTTTTTTTTAATTTGATCTCTAACTTTGTTATCTACTGCAAGTGATAAATAAATAAACATTTTTATTTATAAAGAAAGTTTAGAATGTCCGCCACCAGGAGACTTAATGTGCAATAATAAAAATGAAGTAGCATTACACTAACCTTCCCATTCTTATCTCTAACGATCACCGACATCCGTTTCCGCTCTGAAGTAAACTCTAATGTTTGGAGCTTCTCATACATCTCCGTGTGATCACCCATCTTCACAAGCATATTATTTCCATCTTCCCCTAAGAACGTTATCCCGACCTTGCAAGCCGCTTCAACTAGGGCTTTCTCATCGGGACTGCTTCCTTGATAATCCATTTTGCTGTTGTTTTCTGATAGGAGGGTATCCCATGGGATATCATTAACGGCACCGTTCATAGCTTTACCGTTGGCAGCGCTAGATTTAATCTTTCTCCTTTTGAAGAAGTCTAAAGGGTTCGGTGTTATAGAGAGGCGCGCGCTAAGCTTCTTCATGTCTTCGTTGGATATTTGAACGGAGTGGCAAAGTGCTAGAATTGTGAAGAAAAACTTAACCTCATCCTAAAAAGGTAAGTTTAAATTAGGAAATATTTTAACAAATAAACAAGAATTATTGTATACTAAATGACAAATGACTAAAACCCCACTTTGTCCCTTGCACTCTGAGATGGGAATGATTAATGGGATTATGGGACTCACGACCATCTCAGAGTGCCTGGGACATGGTGGATTTTTTAAGTATTTATTTAAGTATAGCATATGAATGCAAAATTGATCAATATAATATTAGAATGTAATTTGAATCAAATCAAATCAAAATTATTTATTCAGTCTAGGCTGATAAAAGCACTCGCTAGTCCTAAATCTACGGCGGGAGACCTTGTACTGAGAATTTGCCATATAGGTACTATGTGACATATGCTCGGCCTGCGTGGTGGGTCATAGCCCGTTTTCTCTATTCAATTTTATTCCATCCATAGGTGCCCCAGCTGGGGACATTAAAAAGTTGATGACGATGAAGGTTTCATTGTACAATGTACGACTTAGGTACAAAGGAGAAAAAGAAATATTATATAAATGCCAATTACTCCTTAGCTCAGTCTGTATCATAAAAATAAATTTAACCTATAAATATAAAGATAAATAAATATCAAAATACCAGGAAAAAGACAGTCGATCTCTATGTATCAAAATTTAATCTGATTCAAAATCAAGAGCATTTTAGATTATTCACTTGAGATAATATTTATCTTTAAAAAATATGTCATTCACCAAATATATTCGCTATTGACTTCCTTTTTTAACTCTGACAAGGTTGCATTCAATTTTGAGTATTGCTATTGCGTGTATTATATTCATATGTGTTTAAAGTTGGAGCTATTGAAACGATGACTGATATAACACATGTGACAGACTGACATACATACAGACAGCGGAGACATGTTAAGAGGGTCTCGTAAACCTAAAAAAATAGGTACTCTATACATAATCTCTGGTTGCTATAAAATACTAATTTTTTTGAAATAGTTTTTAAACTTATTATTCAAAGCATTAAGATTTTAAATGAATAAACTTACATTACAAACCCTAAACAGTCAATATTTTTAACGGACTTTAAAAAATCCTTTTTTTTTATCAATTCGAGGCGTATGTCGTAGAAATGAAGTAATATTTGTATATGTTGGTGTCTATGGGCTTCTAAACGTGTGCTAGATTTTGTAGATGTGTATTATGTATGTGTGTTGACAACGTATTTTTCGTAAAATAGACATTGGATTGAAATTATAATTTTTTGTTACATTAACAATTTTTGAACTTAGAGAACAACATGAAAGAGAAACTTACTAAAAGACTTAAGAAACGAACTGTTACCAGAATAGTAGATTAGATTAGGTAAAAACTGCGACCCCAATAAAAGAATGGCTTCAAGAATATTGGGTCAGGTTAGGTTAGAACTGCTACCATCACAGAAAATATTTATCTGGTGAATATAAGTATGTTTAAATACAGACGAAGGTGTCCATTTATTATGTTAGAAGTAAGTAATACGGATCAGTTATAACTTCTATTATTAAAAAAAAATAAATAAAAATTAAACAGACTTCAAGTTAAACTCGAATCCATCGAATTTAACTTGCGGTCGTCTCGCACTATAATTAAGCAAATGTTTTTGTGAAATACAGGCATGTTTTATGATGTCCGACAAATGGATTATCTAAGTTTGTTCATTATATCAGATAATGTAAATGCAAATACCTTAGCTGATACGAAACGATAAGGTTTCTTTGCGGAAACGCGATAGTCAGACGACCAATTTCCTATACCATTCATAAGGATAACATACCCATTTATCTTATACTGTTTTCTGTCGTAATATTATGCTATAGAGATTGGTTTGATTTTTTATCTTACGATTTTTTCCAAAGGTTTTTATATTTCAATATTGTTAATAGGTCATTTGCTTGCTCTTTTCTCAATTAATTATTTGGATATATTAGAACATGGAAGATAAAATGAAAAATTATTAAGCATAATTTTAATAATATATTTGAGAATATATATTTTATCTAAAGATATATTATAAAGAAGAAAGATTTGATTGTTTGTTTGCATCTAAACTACTGGACTGATTTAAAAAATTCTTTCACCTACGGGATGCTACATCATATGTGGTTACCATATGCTATATTTTATCCCGAAAAACAGCAAAAAAGTGATCTAAATTGGAGTGGAAGTTTGTATGGGGAATTAAAACGTCACCATAGAAACCATTGCTTTTGTTTACTATTCAATTTATCATTATAATTATATCCATGTCATGATATATATAGATATTCAAGTAAATAGTTCCCTAGGCGGACTAGGGTTACCACCCGTACTTTATAATAAAGTATTGTACGTTATTTCAGACAAGTGTACTCTATACTCTATAAGAAAAATAAAGTACACGAAAATACTTTATGTCGTATGATTTGATTTGTTTGTGATTTTGAAGCTTAGTCGTAAGTATTTTTTCGTTAAACAAAATTTATCGACTCATGCTGAATAGATAAATAAAAAGAAAATGTATTTTTACGTTTAGTAATAAAGAAAAATAAATAATACTTTATTTTGATTCAATTTACTTTGTTTTTGTACCTATAATAACTAATGTACTTTAATTGGGGAAAAAAAATGTGGCAACCCTACCTAGAACCCATGTGGGCGAAGCCGCTGGCGGGAAGCTAGTTGTATATAAAAGGAATGTTCTCAAAATACAACTGAAACATCCGTGGTTTTCAGTTGTTATTCTTAACTGTTATTATACGTTTGTTTACTTGATAATAAATAAAAAATATATATCTTTATAAATATTAAATGATGACACGTCGCATAAATTGCTCAGATGCCAAATGAAGTAGCTGGCACATTTCACATATTTTTTTTTGCTTTGTTTATTCTTTTTGTCCAATATTGTTAACTTAAGTACATAAGTATTAACATTGCATATTTTAATATATGGTTATGTCCTCCTAATGTTGTTGTACTCTCAAATTTATGAAACAAAATTGTAAGGTTTGAATTTGACAAACATAGTAGCTCATATTATATTATTGTTAATTATTGTTACATTTTATAGGCACTATAGGTCTATTATAACTTCAAAAATTTTCAAAAATTATTTTTCTATGTATGTGACTGTTTGTAGCCTTAAATAAATGAAAAAAAAATTATATTATCGTAATTTGTGTAAAAATCTGAACAGCAAAGATACAGGATCAATACCCAAGACAATATTTTCTACATAGACGCGACCGGGAATCGAACCCGGGAGGACCTGAGAGTACGACACCTTATCTAATATTTTTCGCTTAAAACCTCTCGCCTACGGAAGTCTTTGTCACAGTTTTGAAATTAGCTTACATCAAAAACGTGTCTCGCTTGTCTCCTCACACTGGGAGCGAAGTGAAACTGTAATCGGGCCATTACACGATCAATCTGGCGTCAAATCGATCCGTGATATTGACGTCAGATTGATCGCGTAATGTGTTGATTGATGCCAGATTGAAATGGAACACGTATTATCCAGATAATTTGATTTTTTATCATCGATCCGTAACTTTGATCTACATGCTTACTCTTGAACGCAATCGCGATCGGTCGACATTGCAATAGGGGCCGTCCATAAATTACGTCACGCAAAATATATCACAAATCACATAATTTTTAAACGCCTCTCCCCCCCCTCACAAGTTTGTCTATACAAATTCTACTAAATACTGTTCTAATGTCACAGTTCGTCGACCCCCCCTCCCCCTCCTAACGTGTGACGTAATTTATGGATGGCCCCATAGGGATAACGACTAATTTTTGTTTGATCGTCCGTCACGTAGACTATTGAAGAATATTAAACACGTATTTTTTTATGTTTCCACCTCTCAAATTTATGCGTATTATCTAATCCATTTCTTGTTAAATTGAAGCAAAAAAAAAGTATCAAAATATTTTTCTAGTATCTAACTGATGGACTAAATAGAATTTCTTTTTTAACCCCATTAAAAAAGAAATTCTATTTAGTCATCATCCCATTTATACGTTTTCTACTATTGATTTGGTATACTAGCGCCAATTGGCTCAATATTGTGTGGTTATAGAATGAGCTAATTCACATAGCGTAAGTATTGAATCCATGTTCAAAGAGTACAAGCTGAGATTTAATAAAAAATGAGATCGGCATAACATTGGATTGAAATGGACATTAAGATTGCGTTCAAGAGTAACAGTAGGCTTACTCTTGACAAATTGATGGTATAATGATGCTAAAACTCACATTAGTATAATCCACTGCTTCGTCAAAACGATCAGTGTCGTATAGCTTGCCGTCTCGCTCTTCGTATATGCATCCTTTTATAGAGCAAGCTTTGAAAACCATCAGGTTCTTGGTGAGTGTCCCCGTTTTGTCCGAAAATAAAACCTCGATTTGTCCGAGGTCTTCGTTCAAATCTGAAGTGTTGGCAAGAGCTGGTTTTCCGGTCTCCTCGCATCGCAAATCCGCATCGCAGGTGAAGAAATAAGTACCTTAAACGTGATTTATTACTTTTAAAATTATAAGCTTTGGTACCTATTATCTAAAAAAATATGATTCATAAACGTCACGGAAGTTATTAGACCGAGAGCTTGTGACAAAAATGTGCAAGGGTTTTGTGCAAGGGTTTTTGTAACTATTGATATTTCAGTATGTCGAAGTACTAAGGGTATATATCACTAAGTAGGTACTCTAATGGTGGGATAAGCAGTAGCTCTGGACGGCGCAATGATTCCTGGTATAATTCTTTAACCTCTTGATTTTATTTGCAAATAATATACATCGAATCACTTATACGTAAATTTTAAAATACTGACTCTATACCGGCCTTGATCAGAGAAGATTATCAACCAGCAAAGCGCTAACACGCGAATGCGAATTCGGAAAAAATAATAATTCAAAATATTAACGGCCAGCATTGACCATAAATCGTCCGGAGAGTAAACCTACCTATAGTAATGTGCACGGACGTTGCAGTACCCATTATGGAGGTAAGTTGCTGGAACACTTGGTGGTGGCAGTTCGAAAACTATGCCCTAGCGATATAAATGTTTTGTTATACTAAACGAAAGTGAAGTATGTGGAGTCGAGTTTTTCTTAACTTCTATTTAGTTATAAATAAAGTCATCGCGTTATACGATTGTGCGGACTGCGATCTTGGCAGCTTATACACTTCTACAATATTTTAATACGGGCGTAGATAATAAATACATTTTTTTTCTGGTAGTATTTAATATACCTACTATTTCCAATAATCACACTACCATGCTTATTTTATTTATAATATTATTTGATTGAATATGAAAAAGCATCTATTTTATACTCGCTGTCACAGGACTACTAACAGCGGGTGACGTCACATTCCTCTAAGGAAGATGTCATAAATTTGACATTGACATACATAGAACTATGCATAGAACGATGTTTGTTGTTGTTATTGTTTACGTTAGTGGGCTGTGACGTCACATCGACGCCATGACAGACGTTCGCGTTTTTGCGGGAAAATTGAATATGAATTTTATTTTTAGATTTAAAATTAATATATGAGAGATATTTTTTAAAATATGTTTCAAGTATATCTCTAGTATAAAATAAAAATAATTGAAAAATCGTCTATGTACACCCGTATTATAACGTAGCAGTTTCAATGTTACCATTTCACATGCGTTACCAATATCAGGTGTAACTTAGTAATGTATACCCTTACTACTTCTGCATACTGAGTTTATGCTATGCTGTTTACATTATAAGAGCTAACATATATCTCTAGATATATGTTAAGATTATGCCTTGTCAGTCTACGTACCTAAAATTGAGATAATTAACATATTTGTTTCAAATCAAATCCATTTATTTAGACTAGAAGTTGAAACTCTATGCCATGATGAGACCATTCATACTCTACGTACTACTAGTTGCAATAAAATTATATTATAACAATAACTTACCTATATACTTATTCAGCTCGATGGTCACATATAACGACATTGGAATAATATAATAGTACAGCAGCAGAAACGAGAACATATCCTGGAAAATCTGCCTTACGGTCGGAGGACGCGGGAGAGGGGGACCCAAATACATCTCCTTTCCCACTCTATTCGCTTCAAGGACAATCTTGACTATGTATGAAACAACTATCAAGAGTACGAGTAAGCCGATGAAGAAAGCCAGAAAGGAATTCATAGCTGACTCGCACGACGAGAACTTGTTACCTGCGTATTTAGAATTCAGAGCGAGTTTTGTCTCTTCACCTTAAACAATGGAAAAAATATATATAATTGTTTTTATTTACACTTTGTGTTATGTTGACTTCATAATAGATGCCTTTAAGTTCTCTATTAGGAAAGTCACTTCAATGGTAGTTTTGCTAATCTATGAATCGCGATTTTATCCTGATTTTGCTATTTATTACTGATTCAATATTAAATTGTTAAGACTCCATTGCGTTTAATTTAAACGCATGCGCATGCAAATCGGGCTCGTGTTTTCAGGCTGCTAATGCGTGAGCTTATAGGATAATAAGCTCTGTGTGTCTGAGCCATAGGTATTTGTTTCTTATATGTCTTTAAGAGTAATCGTTATTAATCTGAATTGAATATGGTGGAGGTCTTAATTAATCATGCACTTAAACTCAATAGGGCTGACCACTGGGTAAAAAAAATTCAATTTAGTCCATCAGTCACATAATAGAAAAATATTAGAAAGGTATTTTTGTTTTGCTGTTTCAATTTAAACAAGAAATGGTTTAGATACGCAATAAAGTTGAAAAATGGGGGCTCACTACGTCACAGTTTTGTAGAAAATACCTAAGCGTCAACTCGAGATAATTTATTGATTACGCAAAAAACAATAACATACGTGTTTAATATTAACGATCTACCTGACGGACATACAAAACATATCAGTATTTAATAATAATTATATCTAATTAATTAATGATGATTTGAAAGTTATCGAATGCCCGAATAATCAGTTTTAATAGTTGAATGTTATTCTAGTTGATTATTGAATATACTTAGCAAAATTTTAAGTGCGTAAATGTCATTACACTAATATTTATAATCAATTAATAAGTTATCGTTTATGACCAAAATATCAGTGACGACGTATTGATAAACGTACGGTTAAACTGTTTAATTAGACACAAACTCAACTTTAATTCGTAGCTGTTAAGGTTTACTTCCAATCTGCTCTAGTATTATAGCTACTGTTTTTGTGTTTAAATAAAATTGGTGGCGTGATCTTATATATAATGGATTTTCAAGCAACTGGTAACCGGACGTTCTAATGAGGAAGTATAAAAAAAAAACCGAAAGCACTAAAAAAGCACCTCCACTAGATGGCGACTCTAGCAAAAGTTGATTTTTGCAGGAAACGAATGGACCAAAGATCATTTCCGTTCCTTTTAACTAACATATTAAAAAACTGAAATTTGCAAAGTTCGAAACTTAGATATCAATACAAATACGAAAAAGTACAAATAGAATAAGAGTTGTTTATTGAGTTTCGAAAACTAATTTACTTTTAAACATGAAAGAAAACCGGAAAGGTTGGCATGGAGAAATCAAGAACGTGCCGTAGCGACATCGATTTCGGGAACTAATTTTTTTTTAAATACATCCTCATTGCGGATTCTTTGCACAGACAAGATAATTAAGTTCGCATTACGTTGTATCAAAAGCTTTTGTTTATAACGATACAGAGTTAACAGGCATGTACATAGGCGAAAATTGTCTATGGAGTCCCAACTTGGGGAATTTTTGGTCATTTTCATTGAATGATTATAAATTCAATTTACCTGTGTAAACTGCGCATCCGATTGCCCATTCCGTATTTTTAACTCTGGAACCTCTGAGCATTAGATTCTCGGGGCTAAGGATTATCGTGTCTTGTCCGGGAATATTCAGGCGGCCGTAAAATGTATATAGATCTGCTATAGGGTTCGGTATGTCTATTTGCATACCCTGCGGTATAATATCTGAGGGAGAATTTTTAGACATGAAAAAAACAATCTAGAAATATTAAAAGAAAACCTGTCCAGAGCGAGTCGGGCTCGCGGGAAGAGGGTTCCATACAAAAACAATCTAGAAATATTAAAAGAAAACCTGCCCAGAGCTAGTCGGTCTATCGGGATGAGGGTTCCATACAAATATATAATTTTAAAATCATGGATTACAATACGGTGAATGGTGTTAACGTTCAATTATGTAACATCTGTGTAAAAAAAGTGAATTATAATATACAGATTCAGTTTTTTTTTACCAAAATTTTAGGTACACTAATTTCGAAGATAAGAGACAATATAGAATACAAAAAAATTACTAGGGTTAAGAAATCGGCATAATTATTGTGAAACCCTCACCGCTGTCCACGGGCTAATTGATACATTCATTATGCTACTAGACATCTTATAACACTATCTGATAATTATAATAATACGGGTGTAGACAGTATACAAAAATAAATACAAATTATTTATTTCTAGTAGCGTTTAACATACTATTACCGATAATCACACTGTATGTTTATTATATTTATAATATTATTTAAATTAATTATGAAAATACAAATATTTTATGCTCGTTGTCACGTGACCGCTAACAGCGCGTGACGTCACGACCTTTTGCATATATCGAACGATATTAGTTTCAGAGTGCCGTGACGTCATAGCGACGACGCCACGACAGAAGCGGCATTTCCGCGGGAGATTTTGAAAATTACATTTTATTTTTAGATTTTAACTTATTATATGAATGATATTCTTTATACCGGATGAATTTAAAATGACTCTCCAAATTCTTTCTAGGCATTAGGTATCGTTAATAGATCACATATATAGGTATCGTTAATAGATCACATATATGAAAAAAAAACGGTATGTAAAATTTTCTAAATGAAATGTAAACTTGTTGCAGTATGAAGAGGTTTCAACTTTATGTACCATTTCCCCAAGCATGACAAAACGAAAACATTTTAGGTAGCTGCTACTTGTATTACTATCAATGAATTGCGGGAAGGGAGGTAGGGGTAAGTGTAACGTAGCGCGTAAAGCGCACGTACTGGGCAGCGAAGGCGTCCACAAATGTAGGTTTGTTGAAAATAACTTGGTGTCGATATAATTCAACATTTTTGTTCTAAACGACATAAAAAGAAAAAACCCGTATTTCATTATTTGTCGTAAAGATTAACATACTCAAATTTGGAGAGTGGTTTTAAATGCTTCCTGTATATATTTCAATATATTTCATGTATATCTATAAAATAAAAATATTAAATAATAGTTGTCAACCCCCTAACTGACCGACAAACATACCATGTGTATAGCCAACTATCGGCGGTGGTACACGCAACGTCTTCAAATTGGTCTCGCCGTCCAGATTCGCGGTGGTCACGAAGCATTTCCCCTTCGGGTCCGCTGAACAGAGCAGGACCAGATCGGCCGGCACCTCCTTACCCCTTTTCACTCTGACCAAAGTGCCAGGAGCTATACTAGAGTTGGCCACTTGCTTTATAACACCTTTGTGCACTATTTCCACTGTTGAGCGAAACATTACACTTGAGATAAAACGTGTGTCGGTATTATCATTACCATAGTACATACATACATTTATACATAGAATTAACAAGCCTAAGTAGCTCGGTGGCGTAGAGGATACGCGCCGCGGCCCGCGATCGTTGTTGTTAAGCAACTTTCGCAAGTGTCGGTCACGGGATGGGTGACCAAAAAATTGTTATCTCGAGCTACTTCGTGCTTCGGAAGGCACGTTAAGCCGTTGGTCCTGGCTGCATTTGCAGTCATTAATACCCTCCACGCTGGCCCGCCCGTGGCCCAGTTAAGGAGGATGCTCCTTAACCATGAAGCCCCCCCCCCCTTACAGTGGGGACGTAAAAGGTCTGATGATGATGATGATGAACAAGCCTTTTAAGATAATTATAATGTAAAATTTAAAGATATAAATCCTTTTTTCACTTCAAAGTTTAAAAGATCTCAGAGTACAGACAGTGGGAAAAGACTTTGTTTTAAATAATATGCATAGATATAATATTTATGTGATAGGATATTGGTGGTACCAGCCACCTGCTACCGGTATCGATACCAATCAAACTGAGTGCTAGTTTGTAACGCTCACACACAACTTTGATTGCTTATATCAGAGTAAAGTGATTCTTTCGAAGATATTATCTAATCGTAATACAAGTTCCTATTGATATTCTATTGGTAGGTACTATTGTATTGGTCGTTAATATGAAAATGTATGGCGGACAGTCGATATACTTTCAAACTACTCACTGACCTATTTGGTTGTTAACTTTTTTGTCTTCCTTGTGTCGCAGGAAGTCTTCGAAGCCCTGCTTCACAGCCGTCACTAATACCACGAAGCTCAGTGGTAATACGCTAGTGAAGGGTGATACGGGACTGTCTAAAACAAATACAAAACGTGTTGTATTTACCACAGTTATAAAAGTTGAGATTAAATGAATACATTCTGCCCGCAATTTAGTTCGGAAAGGTTAAACACAGGACAAATGACAATACCGAAAACAATGATAATAAAATAATCATGCATGTTAATCTAAGCCATGTTTCATCTCAATAATATGAAAATATGTCAAAATAAAATAATACTTTTTCAATCTGACAAAATGAAAACCTCCCTAGGCCATGTAGTTTTGGCCGATCCCTTTTACCTCTCATAATTTAGACGCTGCATATGAATTTACTATCTTTACAGCGTTTGTTGAAACAGATTCAATCAACATCTGAGTAATAAAAGTTTTTCATTATTTCATGAAAAAAAATACTTCTAAATTTGTAACAAATGTTATATTCCCATTGCTATCTCAGTTCAATATACCTATCTATACTAATTTACGATTGTGTTTGTTGAATAAAATATAATCAGTACTTTGTATTAAATCACTCAACTTTTGGCACACAATATTTTATGATATAGGGTATGTTCCGATATACACTGCGACCACTGAACAGTATGACGTCAATTTAGTATACTGGAAGCCCGTTCCTTTATAGCTAGTTATACTGGTGACTTTTTAAAACGGAACGCAGTCCAGTATACTGTTAATCCTATTTTTGGCGCCATTTTCAAATTTGTTAATGCAAGGTGAATATAAATATAAAGATTCCCTCTTTTCAAAAGAAAATATTATAAAATTGGAAAATTGTATAAAAAAATTATTTATCAATCAAATCCATCTTATAATAAACGTAAGTATTTTATTTTATCTGTTTCGACTGATCACGTGGTCAAAAGCACTGCGAGCAATGCACCTCGAAATCTCCAGTGCTCACAGTACAAATATGGCGGCAATTCATGACGTCATAAATTTCCCTAGGGTACTGTAGCAGTGTACTGGCAGTCCATAACGGAACGGATTTTTCAGCAGCCACATTTCAGACCACTGCGCAGTGCTCGCAGTGTATATCGGAACATACCCATAATAATATCAAACAAACGTGACCGCCCACAAACATCTAATCGTCTCATATATAATATTATTAATAAATATTTCCGCGGGAAAACAACTTTTTGAAATCTAATAGGTTATGCATAAAAGATATTTAAATGATCTTATAACATTACCACTCATCACAACACAAAATCTACACTCCTAATTCTTCAAAAACGAAATTTCGTCTATTCTCAAAATGCTAATAAGACTCCAAAGAAATGAATTTTTCGATAATTTATAATGCAACGGAGGTAGGACCTGACACTTCCTATAATACACAAATAATCTCCACGAATATGATATAACAAAAATATAAGAACGACTGGAAATTTTCCAAACTTTACAACTAGGACAAATAGAATAGGTTTCGTCCCTTAATTCTTACGAGTTAAAGGTACGTCTCTTCGGGTAGAGTTGGACAATTAGGTGGGAATCGCACGCCGATTTCAAACTGTCACCATCTCGAAGTTTGGACTCCAGTTTCGGTCGGGGCAATGTAGAAAACAAACTTTTTATAGAGGTATGTTGTCTCGTCACGAGTTCAGGTATTCTAGTACCAACAATGCTTCAAAAACTCCGCAAATCCTACGAGGGCTAAAGCTATTTATACCTTTGCTAATATATTAAAAAGCTATGGGCAAACTTACCGATAAAAAAAGATATGAGGGTAACGACCAAGAAATAAAAATTTACAATCCGGCGGAATTGTTCACTCAAGTTTTTAGGTATGAACAACAGCAATGAATATTTGGACGTTTTGATCTTGTTGTGCTTCTTTTTATCGTTTGGATCAATGAAACCCACTTCCACCGTACGTGTCTCCGAAGCTGAATGTACTTTGTTGCCCTGGGAATAAAACAATATGCGTTATTATTAGTTTAACAGTGATGATTTGCTTTACAAAATCATGTTCAAATCATAGATTCTTGCGCCCTTATCTGTATTAAATTAGTAAATAAAATTTCTGCGGCTGGCAAAAACTATGTCATCTTTCCCATTCGAAGAAAAAAACCACTTATATAAATTATTTTAAAACAGTTTTATAACCGTGGGATTAAATGAGTGCAAAACGTTGTGCAAGCACAAGGTTATTATTTTATGGAGAATCAATAGTCGTCGGTTGAACAAGGCCGAGTTGATAATGCCCATGTATCAAGAAACGGCCGAGCCCACAAGTTCAAGACTAGCTATCAAGATCAAGATAGTTTCTAATGTCACTTTCAATAATCTATTCGAGAAAATCATGTTAGATTCCCTTATCTACAGATTTAGGCAATTCTGCTGGCAAAATATATATACCTACACAAAATTTAGTTTTAAATCCTGTCAAGCTGCGTGTGCAGTTTGTGTTGACCGCGTTGTTTATAATGTAGTGAAGAATTTTGTAAACATACGTTTAAAACATCAGCGATTTTTATGTGTATGTAATAATCATAAACATTTGTATTTTTGCAATAACCGGAATAAAAGGCAAGGAAACGAAAGGAAATTCTTTTTGATTAGTCACACAAACTTAATTGTATTTTTCTATTTAATAACGAGCTTTAATAATAAAATATATTTAAACATCATATGAGGCAGAACTCAAAGCCTACTTCATTTTGTTGCTTCGAAAACAAAAATCCGTATAAATTGGAAACATTTTTACGATAATTTTTGAGAATTTATGGCGCATAAAGGCTTGTCTGAGACGTGATTTTTTACTTCGAAATGATTTGATTAGAAATTATGGTTCGATATATATATATCGAAGATTTTCCTAAATAATGTATAAATAGGGAATATTTTTGTGTACTTTGAGCTCCATTAGTTGCAGAAAGGGCACGGTTAATGAGTTTTATGCTTATTGTAAGTAACTCAAACATATTTTAGATTGTTTTAATGAATAGTTCTTAATTTATTCAAAAAAATAGATGAAAATTCACTGACCACTCGCCATCTGATCTCCGAAACTACTAAGATCATGAAAAGAATATAAAAAATTGTTTTAAAAGGATAAAAGGAGACAATATAGAAAAGATGTGTGTCGCCGAAAGATCAAAAGAAAACGGCCAAAGGATATAGCCCAACACGATGGCCGTGCCATACACGTAAATACGTACAAACACTGATTCTAGCGTCAACGAAGCAATCCACGCAGCAGAAGATCGAGGAAGATGGTGTAACTCGGTCCGCTGTGTTACTGCTATGCTATTTGTGAATGGCGGTGATTTATGATGATGCTTAGTTGACATTTGCATCGATTCTATGAAAATTAGCATTATCTTATCAGTTAACGCCACGGCATGAAGCAGCGTGCATTGAATGAAACCATATGATTTTATGCGATCGATTAAAGTTATTAGGTAATCATTTATTTTAAAATCCCCTATTAATTACATGAATGTTTATTATTCCATTACTAAGCTACCTATTACTAACAATACACAAATGTTTACTAACATTCATCTCGATGATGCAATACTTCCACAAAACTGCTCTGCAATCTACCTATATTGCCGCCGATTGTACTATTTGTTTTTTTTGTGTTATTGTTTCCTATTATTGGTGTTTATGTACAATAAAGAATTATTCATTCATTATATTTGGAAAAAAATTGTAAACAATCCTCAATACTAATTTATTAGTGTGTCAAGTATAAAAAGGAAAACAGTAACAGAAGAAGAAAATCACCAATAAACCAAGTAACAAACCGAAAACTGACGAGTCTGAAAAAGTACCAGGATTCTTAGTTTCAGGTTACTAAATATATAATGTGATTGTTTTAGGGTTCCGTATCACAAAAAGAAAAGTCAGTCTGTCTGACTACGAAGACCCTTAATATAGCGTTTTTGCGTTGAATAAATACCATATATCGAGTTGAAATAAAACCATATACTCAGGTCTATGTACAGACCCTTGAAGCCGAAAAACTTTTAAATTAACGTAAACAATGATACGGCCGATTACACCTCAAAAACACATATTTCGACACTCTCAAAATATAGGATAGGTTACACATTGACATCGTGTTATAAATCAAGATCAAGGAAAAATCGGAAAGCCTTAATTTAAAATTTAAGCTACTAGCACAAATGTGGTGAGTATCATATAAAAGGGCTTGATTCAGAACTATTTGATTAATACAATTTTGTACGGAACTCTCGGTGGGCGAATTCGACTCACACTTGTCCGTTGAAACTGACTGATGACTTGATAAATATTGCCAATCATCTCGCAAAAAAAAAGAACCGAAAAATATTAAAAAATCATTACCCTCATGATCCCGAACGTTAAATTAACACCCAATCAGCAAATAACAATACAATGGTCGGATCATCGCTGATCGACGGTTCATCTGACCATCGATCGCAATCACCATGACTTTACTGCCAACGCAAGTGCATGCTACTTGTGAGAAGGGCACCATCTGGCCGTGTGCAAATTAATACTTTCGCCTTTAATAGACCAGAGATAACATATAATAAAACCATTCTCATTTAATATTAATGTATTATCCTATTCAAATCAAATCAAAATTATTTATTCAGTCTAGGCTGTTATAAGCACTTGTGAAAGTCGAGAGCTACGCCATCGGTTCGTAAATCTACGGCGGGAGACCTGGTACCGAGAAGAATCGGCAAGAAACTCGGCAAGGGCTGCTTTTTTCTCCCTGTTTTATTTCATACAGAGCGTCAAGATTGAAAAATGACTTCATTAAAATTTGAAGTCACTTTCCATTTATATTAAATGTTTTGGGGCATATTATTATTAAATGTTTTGGGGCTATGCAGGCGTGCATCCGAACCTGAAAAGGTTGTAACCACAGCTACCCGGAAATATGCAAAGTGCCGAGGCGGAATATCAACTCCTATTAATGTCACATCTATTAGGGTTGTTTGCATGCCCGTCGTGTCCCATAATAAAATCTGCCCTAGAGACTATGCATATGGATGTGTATTGACTGCGACATGAAAGGTAGCCATCAGATTTTATAGTTTCTTTAAAACCAATCAAGACTTCGAAAAAGACGTCGATGTACCCAGTTATCAGTGATTTATTTTCTTTGGGCTGACATCCTATTTTTATCGTGTATAGTACTTGACCATCGCTTTTGTCCAGTTTTATTTCACTCTATTTCGAAACATTCATTTTGTCGATGCATTTAATATAGTTGTCACCAGGTATATTTTATTACGCACCTGTCATAACGCTGTTGTTATAAGATAATGACTTCATATCATTATACATAAATTCGATTTGATTCAATACCATCTATAGGGAAGACCTGACCCCCCGCGGTGGAGATATTAATAGGCTGATGATTATAGTGATTATAACTATATGAAGCATACTTATTTCATGCACTGGATTGCGGTGTTCAATTGATCGAGACAATTTTCAATACCAGTCTGATGTTACTTAGTCCGCACTATCCCTGTGGTAACACACGAAGATTAAATAATAAATTATGATAAATATATCAAAATTACTCACACTGCAACAGAAAAATATCAGATGACATATAGACGCAACAGTCTGACACAACCACTGTGTAAAATTATATATTAAAACATGACACTGTTTCATTGTCTTGGCGTCAAGAACACATGTAAGAATTCCTACACATTTCACAAAAAAAAAGAATAACAATTATTTGACCCTGTAACGACCAAACGACAATGAAGTCGAAACGACAATATGTTGATAGCGAAAACTATCTTATCAGTGCTCAATATGATATCAATAAACGCCTCATGAATACGACAGACATTCATAAAGGCAGGCATATTTAAAAATTTCAACACTAGTATTATCCTTATGGTGCTCCAAATTTAATAAAACTTAAAAAGTTTGAAACACTTTATATAACTTAAATACGCGCGTTGCAAAACTTTGCCTGTGGCAGATTTAGAACTCGCACTTTTAACACTTGTGCAGTCTTTTCACTTAAAGAGTCGCCCAAATATTTAGAAATCGCCAAGGAACACCTATTGACTTGACTATTATACGAGTCCCATGACGACATTAGCAAAGGGCTAAAATTAGGACATTCGTTATGGCTGGAGAAAAAGACTTTTCGCGTATAGTGGTTTTTCATCATAATAACACTAGACCTCACATATCTTTTGCCACTCAGTAAAAATTGAGAGTTTGGCTGGGAGGTGTTAATACATCCGCCGTATACTCTTTACCTTGCACCTTCAGATTTCAGCCTGTTTCGAACTCTTCGGAGTTTTTTAGGCAGTGTCGGGTTAATATCACGCGAGGCCTGCCAAAACCACTTTACGCCCTAAATTGCTTAATACGAATACATCAAGCGATTTATTTACTTGGAATTTTAAAAAATCTTCTTAAACCAGGGGTCGGCAACCTTCTGAGACGGAAGTACTGAAAACTACAATAAATAAAAAAAAAACAGTTATTAAAGACCCTCTGAGATTTCGTTTGAATTTTAATTTGAATATTATTCCTATTACATTAGATTTAATTTAACTTAAACAACTATCTCTCAATCATAGTCAATATACATCTCAATAACGATTTGAATTTTTTGTAAACGGCACGAGAGAACCGCATCTTTACAAATAAAGAGCCACAGGTTGCCGACCCCTGGGTGACACGATTAATTTCACGTTTTTTAGATAAGTGATTCGTTTTAGGTTAGTGAAAACGAACGGGTAATTAGACGTATATTGATAAGCATTAATCAGTAGTAAGGAATATTGTTACAATTAAAAGTTTGTGGCGGTGAATTTGCAATCGCGCCGAATTCGCTTCTATCTAGGCAAGGTCTTAGCCGTTATTACATTCTGTTGTTTTCTCCGAAATGTTCACTAATAACAAACATTATTATTTTAATATTTAAATACTCTTTGGCTAATAATGCCAGTTCAAAAGGATATACTTATAAGTAAATGTAGTCGATAAACGCCGCGGGCCGCGATTGTTATTGTTAAGCAACTGTCACAAGGCTCGGGATCACGGGATGGGTAAAAAAAAATATCTTGATCTACTCCGTGCTTCGGAAGGCACGTTAATCCGTTGATCCCGGCTGCATTAGCAGTCGTTAATACCCTCCAATCCGCATTGGGCCAACATGGAGAGTCATGGCCCATCCTCCTTCACCATCTACAAGGAAGGCCTGGATGTAACATGAATGATGATGATAATATTTTGTTTATTTTAGTTAAAAAATCACGTTTGTTGTATGGGAGCCCTTAAATATTTATTTTATTGTTTTCTCAGTTTTCTTAGTATTTGTTGTAATAGCGGCAATTGAAAAACATAATCTGTGAAAATCTCAACTGTCTTTCTACCACGGTACATGAGACTGGTCTGGTGACAGCAGGGGCATGTTTAAGGAGGGTTCTTATAAAACAATGTGATTTTTTTTGCTGTCGCCAGGTTGTATCTCATGAGCCGTGAAAGTTAGCCATTTGAAATTTTCACAGATGATGTATTTCTTGTTGCCGCTTTAAAAACAAATACTAAAAACCAGAATAAAAAATTATTTAAAGGGGTGCCCAAACAATAAGTGATATTTTGCTGTCACGAGATTGTTTCTGATAAACCGGGACAGTCAGACAGTTAAAGTCAAATAAATATATTTAAATTCTATTTCATATTCTAAAACTTACAGTTTTGTTTCAATAACAAAAAGACTAGGAGAATCATATCTCTTAAATATATTGACGAGGTTATACTTAATTATATTTGTTTTATTAAAAGCCTAAAACCAACTTCAAAAGAAAGTCTCATGTTTAGCGTCTCATACTTTTTCGTACCAAATTTTATCTAAATGGTTTCAGACCGAGTTACGTTCGCATAAATATTATAATTAGTAAGGAGTTACAAATTAAATAATAATTAAAGAAGAAAAGTATCACTACAAATAAAATTACAAAATTTTAATTAGACAGTTGATATTTAAACACAATATATTTTAATTCATTTGTTGCATGGGTGATTTTATAAACGTTTCCAGTACAGAACCCTCCATGCGCAAGAGCAAATCGCACTTGACCGGTTTTGACATGCTGTTTCTACGGCATAACCTCATGTTTTACTTGTCATTAGATTATTTTTGCTTACAGCCTGGTTTTAAACAAATCATCGTGTCGAATGAAGTGTCCATACATTCTCCCTAATCTGTTTTCTATTAGTTTAGATGTCGGTACGAGGTAGACCTAGTAGCCGTCTCTTTTCATTGATGATTTCCAATATTTATTCAATCGATTGTATTACTTTTGTATTATTTGATTTGCTTATAATTTTTATCCTTCTTCAACACTACAAAAGCCCTACACTACTCTGGGGCTCTATTTTTGAATCATTCGTCTCGCGTCGAGCGCTCGTTTTCTACTGATTTTCGTTCGACTTAACAAACTCGCCATTTCTAAATCGCTCGACTGCAACGAGTGGTATGAACCACTCGTCGCTTAGCGAACGTTGTATGCGAGTGATAGAAGAAAACGAGCGCTCGACGCGAGACGAATGATTCAAAAATAGAGCCCCTGGATAATTTTCTTAGGTAGGTATGAAGACTACCACTACCTTTTTTTGTAAAAATTTCAGCACATAGATATATGCCATCGCCGACTTTTTTTATAGATAATTTAAAACTTTTCTTTAAAAATCATTCGTATATCTCTTACCACCGTTTAGACAGCGTTCACAAAAATAGGCGCCCTTAAAAGTACTTCTATCCCTAGGGAACCTTTTAGAGGGATTAAAAGCCTTGACATCTTTGGACATCCGATGTCATTGATGTAAGTTTGGCAACGTCGTGCGTGCAGTAGTTTAAAAGTAAATAACTTTTTATTTAAAAAATCACGGGATTTTTTCTGCTCTTTAAAATTAATCTTGGTATTTGAGGCATATCCACTATATTCTTTCGCTGTATGAAATCAGTGTAAGTACATGAATAACTCTACATAATTCCGACCACTGATTATTACTGGATACCTCTAACTATAGAATAGTAGTAATATAAGGTATAGCGAAAACGTGATAAAAAGTAGGTAAATATATTTTTGAGTTTCCTTTTTAACCTTCAATTTGTTATTTATTGTTTTATATATTGTATTATATATTGTATTATTTATTGTATTATATTTATGTTATTAAAATAAAAGGGTAAAATTAATATGGTTACATATTAATTTTACCCTTTTATTTTAATAACATAATCATAACTTAACATAATCAACTCTTGTTCTGTTTTTATGTTGGCAGATAAAATCTAAAAATACATTAACTCCCAAAAACTCATATGAACTTCTAAAACCTTAACAATAGATATAACAAATATTACACCACCAATCAAGAGGGGTTGCATGATGTTGCACTATCTATCCTAAAATTTAAAAACTAAACTGCGACAAACTCAAAATCACTTACAATCTATTTACAGGCCATAAGCTAAAGGCAAGTCCAGTTTCAGTAACGGCATAATTAATCCCAGGAAGGTAACTATTATATTCTTGGATACATCTTTGAACTCGCCCAATAGTGCCTCTGTATGGCATGGATGCATTATAAAATATGGTCGCTGTAAAACGGGGTGTTCTTGTTGAGTTATAACTGAATAAAAATCTTCTTTATTTATACTGAAAAAAAGTTACCTTGTATGATTATGAAATTCCTTATTTAAATAATTAATGAGACATTCTGACTTTAGAAATTTAATAATTTGAAAAGCTGCAAGATTGGTGGAATCCATTAATATTATATTTAGATTAATGTAGTAGAAACTATTGTATTTATACAATTATATATCACTAATAGCCGGTTTCTGAATCGAGAAAAGTAACTTAAATTCTCAATTCAGAAACCAGATGTAAGACCCTAGTACGTCCTGCGTTGATGTTGTGGACTGCTTTTCATTTGTTTTTCTTACTTTCAAAATGAGACATTTTAAAATTTATTATGAAAAAGATATAAATGCAACGCAAGCCGCGAAAAAAATTTGTGAAGTTTATGGACCTAGTGCAGTTTCTGTGAGTGTAGCACAAATTTGCGTTTTCACTCCGGAAATTTTGATGTCTAAAATGCACATCGCTCCAGTCGCCCTGTAATGGTTAGAATGAAAGCCATTTTTGAAAAAGTGGAGCAAGTTCGGTTTTCGGTTACTACAGTTTTTCTGTGTAATGAACCGTGTACTCATTTGTGTTTCTTTATTACGGCGTAATGAAACCGAACCATTTTTGAAGAAGCTGATAAATGGTGATGGGATGTGGATCACAAAGGTCGGTCAGGCTTCACAGACTAAGCGAAACCTGGGTTAACTCGCAAGAAGGTGATGCTGTACGTATGGTAGGATAGGAAGGGCATTATTTATTATGAGCTATTACAGCCAGGCAGGACCATCAATTCTGAACGCTTCTGTGAGTTGTCCACAGAAGAGTTGATGAGATTAAAGCAAGAAGTTGAGAGAAAGCGGCTAGAATTAATCAATAGCAGGGATGTGATTTTTCATCATGATAACACAAGATCTCACATATCTTTTGCCACTCAGTAAAAATTGCGAGTTTGGCTGGAAGGTATTGATGCATCCGCCGTATAGTTTTGACTTTGCACCTTCAGATTTCAGCCTGTTTCGAACTCTTCAAATTTCTATAGGTAGTGTCGGGGTAATATAATGTAAGATATATTATGTTCTCAATGTGAACTCTACATACACTGATAACTCAATAGGTATAGAATAATAGCTCATACTTGCAAGACTCAGATGCAAAACTCCTAAGACTGTCTGAAGTTATTATGTGCCAATAATATAAAATATCTTGGTATTACTGTGGATTTTAAGCTCAATTTTAAGACACACACAAAATCTGAGTACTAGAATACACAGACATGTTGCAGATGGTGAACTGATATCAAGAGTTTACTTGACCTTATGCCAATCGCTGTTGACATGCTGCATAGGGGTGGGTTGGGACGACTAGGGATGCAATGATGCAATTGGAAACTGCTCAGCAAATGCTTTGCTATTATAATTGCTACTATGATAATTGTTTAATAATGGATAACTACTTGTATTATAATAATAATAATGATTAATTTTAATAAACTAATAAGGAATTGTAATAAAATATCAGTGTATAAAACGGAGGAACACTGGGGCTTGATATTCAGATTTATTTCTATAAATATAATTCAGGCACAGATGCTACACAATCGTAAAATTGAGTACATAAAAATTGTAATATCTTTCTGAAATAGATATTATTATGTTAATGTAAACAAACTTTATTAAAAAGAAATGGATTTTCTTATAAAATGCCAAGAAACTGTTTTCCCTCACCTATTTTATCTTTTGACGTTTTTCCCTAACCTATTATATGTAATGATCTGTCTTATTGTATTAATTAAATAATACATTTTAAATGTTTATATAGTTTACTTTTGAAACTGGATGAGAACTAATTTTTTATTGTTGAATTATTTTTTATTTTTTAACATGGGCAGATCATTGAAGAATATTAAATATGTATCTTTTTTTATTTTCTGTATAACCAAAAATATGCTGATACATTTAGTTGAAATGTTGCATGTCTCATGCTTTTTTTATTTTTTTTACAAAACTGTGACGTAGCCAACCCCCACTCCTCAACTTTAATGCCTATTATCTATGCCATTTCTTGTATAAATTGAAATAAAAAAAATTCATATCTAATATTTTACTATTATCTGACTGAGAGACTAAACATAATTTCTTTTTTTTTACCCAGCCGTCACCCTATTGTTGCACAAATAATTAGGAAACCTACTTAAACTTTTAAAACTTTTTCAAACAGTTTTTTTAATCTTAATGAAAATGCTTTAAAACTTTCTCTGGCACTTAGCTAGCACACAATTAAGATTTTTGAATTAACTTAAAATACAAAAGTATATCTATAAATATTATATATCGGCTTTGTGAAGCAATATATCGATATTGCCTATAACCAATATATATCAAACTCAATATTGCCTATACCCAATATATATTGAACTCAATATATAGATATTTTTATGAAACTTGAATCTTTAAGTGTGGTCATCCTATAAGACAACACTTAAAGATTCAATCTAAAAGAGTGCCAGGGACAAAATAAATTTACTAAGCATTTTTCATTAAGAATACTTTTCAGTATAGCATTGTGAATGTAAAATATTTCTAATATATAAAAATAAAGATTTCTCAATAAATATTATGTGTTATTTGTACATCACTTAATAAGCATATAAAATTGAAATAGAAGTTGGTTTGGTATGTATTTTGTAACATAAGTGGTCCAGTAAGTGCTCAATAAAATACCTCGAATTGCATATATTATTTTAGTGAAGTATGGAGAGAAAAACAATATTCATAATATTTCAGTAAGTCATTGGCTCAGGCACGGTTTATAATAAGTAGATAATTATAGTATAAAATGCCAGAAATACACAGATTACCAGTGACATATACTTAACATTTGACAAAGTTTAAAATAAGTTAACATATATTAGGTACCTTATTAAAGACATCTGCCTGATTTCATCCAAAGTTAACAGAACCCCAGAAGAATTCCAAATATTAAAACTAAATGATGGAACTCCATAGCTGAGATTAAAAAATATGACATACTCAGTTTTCAATAAAAATTTATTGCCGTGCAAAACTTGATGTACAAAGGTACACTTTTTGATGTAGCACTTGTGTTTATCACTTTGATTTTCTATTAATTTCCAGCCATCATTAATTCTATCAGATATATCACAGAATTTTCTGCATGCATTCACAAAATTCTCCAACGTTATGGTTTTCTGTAAACTCATTTCAATATCCGAAACCGAATGATAAATTTGGTCTGTTTTTGTATATTGGTGTTGTTTGTTTTTTTATGCACTAACGATGAGCTATTATTACTTTAAAAAATCGAATTAGTCGATTGTTCAGTTTAGTCGATGAAAGTCGATTACAATTCATGTTATTCGATTGTTGTTAACAACTAACCGCCGCAAGGGCGGCCGCGGGCGGCTGTGACACGCTGCGGTTACCGTAATTACTTATTCGATTAATTTCTAGCGCAGTACCATATTACTATACCCGTGCGTACTACTTATGGTGCGATGCGGTGCGGCATGAGCTGCGCTCGACTGCAGTTATTATGTGATTGACCCTAATACGTTATTTAGGTGTCCGTTTAGTATTGTATTGTTTCGAGTTGATTATCTTGGGTTTATGCAGCCCAGTATCACCGCGACCATTGCTGATCTATTGTGATCTCCATATACTATTGCAGTTCACGATCAAGATTACCTTCTGCAAGAAAATCTAGTATTTTCTTAGCCGTAACTTCTTTAATATCGTCTGGGTGCATCACGTGTTTCCCTATACAGATACGTCGTTTTTGTATTAGTGCCGGGCAATCAGTCAAAATGTGCAAGGGTGTTTCTTCCTCCTCCTTGCATCCTCTGCACATTCTACTGCCGCTGATCCCCATGTTGTACATGTCTGTTCAGTCCACAATGCCCTGTGAGTGCTGTTTTTGGTTAGGTTTAAGGCCTCTGATGCTACCTTTTTGCGGAAGGTTTTGATCAGGGTCTTAGAGTGCTTCATACCGGGAGGGTTTCTCCATAATTGAATAGCTGCATAATTGCAGTACGTTTTCAAGGTTAGCTGGATTAGGCTTTGAGGGATGCCACAGAATGGTTCTGTTGCCTGTTCATTGCCCTCTTGCCCAGCGTGACCCGGAACCCATCGTAGAACTACTTTGTTGTTGTTGCCCAAAGAGTTCAATGCCTGTTTGCAGTTCTCGACCAGCTTCGATCTAGTTCCGTCGGAGGCAATTACTCAGAGGGCAACTTGACTATCAGAGTGAATGTAGATAGTACGATAGAGGTAGTTGTTTTGCAGATTGGCTGCCGCAAATTCCAAAATGGCGTACACCTCCGCCTGGAATATTGAGGAGTACTTTCCCATGTTCAGACTTATAGCCTTCCTTGGGACTTCACCATAAATTCTACATCCTACCTCAGGGCCGGATTTGGAGCCATCAGTCTATTACTTTAAGCTTCTATTTTTCCATACTATACGATTGTTTGACCAGTCGTCCCTGATGGGTATCTCCACAAGATATGACCTGTGTGAATCGACTCTGGGGGGCGTGGTGTCAATAGGCATCCCCAAGATTGATATATTTGTCCGTTTAGTAGTCAATCCACTGATTTGAGGGCACGTCCATTCGATCGTCGCAATGTAATTGTTACTTATCTACACTATCGAGCGACGAATAATGTTGAAATGTCACACAAACAAACCTTGAAATGTACGATCGCTAACATACTACATCTTTTTAGGGTTCCGTACCGAAAGGGAAAAAACGGGACTCTATTACTAAGACTTAACTGTCCGTCTATCCATCCATCCGTCCGTCCATCTGTATTTCACGTTTTTTTTGTATTATGTTACTTCTCTTTCTTGTTATAAACGATAATATAAATACCAACCAATTAATCATAAAGTAAGCAAAGAATCAACGCAACACCATAATACTCCGCGCTGTTAACAGACCGCACGAGCATAATACAGAATGATCATTAGTAGTTAAGACAAAGGGTATTTGACACTATCGGAAATAAGTTGCATTTTGTGGTCATCCTAATAGATAATAATCTAATAAAGCTTATTTCTTAACATCTGCAGAATAAACATGTTTAGATTTAGTAAAGTAACGCAAAGAAAATGCCATATTTTTAGGAATTTATTCAACGACGAAAACGTCCTATAATTGGTCGTCGTCACAACCAATCACGATTCTGTTTACTGGCCTGTGACGTCATCAGCTGTCATGTCAAAATAGTGTTAGAAAGATACATAAAATATCGATACCTGTAGGTATCGAGTACTTAATAGTAATTTACTGATAACAGAATATCGTACTTTGCTGCTTCTATTGATAAAAACTGCCAAAAAGAAATACAGAAAAAAGAATCATTTACTAAACTTTTTAAAAGAATTCAAGAAATAGGGAAAACGCCAGCAATTTAAAAAAAGAGCAACTTACATGTTTTTCTCATTTCTTGAACTTTACTATAATAATTCAAAATTACAAAGACGATTTTGATGATATTAAGTGTTCTCCAAGTTAAAAACTACAAAAAAAAAATCATCGGTATCTGATATTTAATTATCAAATGCCATGCATTTAGTGGACAGACATACTACATGCATGTATAAAAAAATAGAATATTCTTTTTCACTTGTAGCTCACTTTTTAAAGAAAACCAGAGCAGAGGAAAATAAAAAACGTAAAAAATACGCACTACGACTTCAATTTCTCTTTTAAATTATTACTTCAATTTACTCTAGGGATGATCGATATTCATCGATGTTGAATAAACATCGATGTTTTAAATTGGATAACATCGGCACATCGATGTTTTCGTGCCAAATATTGATGTTTATGAATAAAATGTCAAGATACCCTTTAGGCCATCTAACGTGCTCAAGATGGACTAGCTAGATGATCTCGTATATCAAGTTCAACTATTTTATACTAGATGTCACTTCAACGGTTGCACTCGTAACTGGAGTACGCAAACAAATAGATTTTTCTTTGCTTGCAATCTATCAACTTCAGCTCTCGTTGATATCTTATAAGTTACTTTATTCACCGGTCTTAGTTTCAAAGATCCGTACATTAGATAGTTCCACGCGCGAGTGCGGAATCGAAAAAGGTACCACTGATCCCATCCTCTTCAACTGCCTGAAACAACCTATTTCATATGAGCAACTTCCATCTGAAACCCCCCGTCCCATTAACCTTAATACTATCTTGTCTATTTCTAACATACCTATCTTTTTGCGTCTTGTAAGCATATTAAAAAATATAACAATAGACTATAATCTACATGGCACTATCATATATTTATTGCGATATTTTTTATTTAATTTATTAGTACAATTTGTGACGTTTGCTTTGTGTTGTACTTTTAGAACAAGGGAGGAAGAAAACTATTAAAAACCGTTTCTCATTATCCCGCAAAATTTCTGTGTAAAACGGAAAAAGGTCATTGATGTATATAAAAAAAATTTACTTTATGCTCGTTGGGCTCGTTCTCTCTCCGTGAAACTCCCGCGTGATTTTTTATGACACTTGTCTTATTCCATTACTTTTATGTTAAGGGGTAGAATCCACCTATCCCACATTTAAATAGATTGCATTAAAATATTTACTTCCAAGGCTTCAGAGAGGCTTTTTTCTAAAGCTGGTCAATTCCTTTAACAGCAACGCAATCGATGTTTGGGGAACATCAATGGTTTTCATCGAATGTTGACTTCCGATGTCAATATCGGTGTTTTTCCAATACCGATCATCCCTAATTTACTCTAAAGACAGTTGTTACTTATGGATTTGACATATTTACTGGCCTGTGACGTCACGATCAGCGCCATTACATAGAGCAGCGTTTTCCGCGTGCTTTTGGCTATTTAAATTTTAACAATTATTTTCACCAAAAATAGAAAAGATTCCTATGAAATATTATGACAGTGTGTTTATAATGTAGCAAACAACGATTTAAAATAGTTTTCAGAAAAGTGTCAAATACCCTATTGTTATTCGAATAATCATGGCGGGGAACAACTAAATCGACAATCGAATGCGCAGTAGCACAATTTTTGATTCAGTCGGTTGTTTTTTTTTTTGCAACAATCGCCCATCGCTATTGTGAACTACACTGAATTTTCAGGTCTGGCGGTCCGATTTACTCCGGTCCGGAATGACGTGAAAAACCCAGATGTGTAGCTTGTGCACTTGTCCGTCTTTTTCCGGATCGGAGCGGCGCAGTTTAGGGCAGCTCTCTTTGAAGATACACGTCACTTACGATAGGTACGATAAGATTTTTGGAACGTTGGTAATTGCTTGCTTTATTACTCTACGTGCGAAGACTTACAAGACAGAAAAAATATTGGGTCATCCCCTTATAATTGAAAAGTACCTAAATAATAACCTGACAGGGTCATTTTACATAAAGCATAATAAATTGAGGCAGGACGAAAGCATTTTTTTACTACTCTCAGATGGCTTATATTAGATGTAAGAACTTATACTAATTTAGGAACTAAATAGCTAAAAATACCTGTGTAATTCGAATAAAACAACTGATAATATTCTCATACTTGATGTTCTAATTTATAATAATGCAAATTTTCTTCGAAGTTTTGCAAAAACAACTTCAAGCGATTACAGACAAGGACCAATCGTTGATGCCGTTTCCTAAACAAAGCGAAATCAGTGCCGTGTAGGCGGAGAATTAATATTTCCATGCAAACTTTCATCCCCTATTTTTCCCGATAAAAGGTAGCCTATGTCCTTTTTTAAAGTTAAGTCTATTTACTATATAAATTTCCATTAAGATGGGTTCATTTGTTTAGGCGCCTAAGCGTATTTATCACACTTATTTATCTTATCCTAAGTTATCGATACTTTTAATATGATACTAAAATCTAAGTATCGATACCAGAACCATACGCTGATTAACTTAAAACTATACCGAGTTAGCCAAAGCATATATCATATACAATATAGCATTTTATAATCTACAACAAATATCGATTATCAGTTAATTGGAAATTAACAATATCGATTTTACAAAAATAGATTAATTTTTCCCAAGCACAAGCGTAGACACGTTTTTCATTGCTGCCATCACGGGCCTGAAAAAACTGGTCCGGAATAGAGAAAAGTAAAATCCCGGACCGTAAAATTCCTAACAGTGCACACGCTAGCATTACTTAGATATTGCCTGACATATCGGACCGGAAAAAATCG